AGGTATACCGCGTTTTAAAAAGTGGAACCTTTGATACTAAACTGAGTTTTTTAATATACAAACTAGATCACACGCCGTTTTATTTTCAGTTATTATAAAATAGCAAAAAACTGGGTGTAATTGTCAAGCTAGAATTTCTGCAATTTCGCTATATTAAAAGCTGGGGTATTTGTTTTAATGAAGTTTTTCTTATGTAGGTTTAAATTATGCAGCATTTCGCAAGTATTAAAAAAAATCTTTGTCACAATCTAGCAATACTGTTTACAATAATTACACACTTAATTTGTGTTATTTTAAACGGAGTTACTTACACATTTTTCAGATTTAGATTTCTATTAAAAACGGAAGAAAAAAATCATCAGATACACGTATTTTAAGGACAATGGTTTTTGATCAACATTTATACATATGTAGAAAGCAACCATATTTAAAAATTCACAACTCCACTCTTTTTAAAGATGAAGCTTTGGAATTTTACATAAAGCTTTTTAATCACCTTGCCTTGGCATATCTATGCATAAACGATAGAATTGGGTTTCGACTTATTTATACAGAGCAATTAAACTTTTCTAATATTTTTCAAAAAGAACGCCTGTATTGTGTATAAATAACATTTTTGCACTCATGACCTTTTTTGATAGCTTTCGCGCATTCACCAGAGTGCGGGAGGTCGAACTTCCCGCACACGTGCATTTAACTTCCCGTTGCCAAGGAAACCTTAAAATACTCGGGTAGTGTCAACATTGTGACGTGTAGACGGCGCTGTCAATGGCGTTGTTTATAAATAACTCACAATTAATCTCTTCAGTTTAAAGGTTTATTCGTCGCAAAAAATATTGTACACAACACGTTCGTGAGCCTGCTTCCCGCATTCACGCAAATGCGGCACTCCCTTCGGTCGTGCCTCAAACAAGCGTTCATGCGGGAAGCAGGCTATCCCGAACTAGTTGCGTAAATTACTATTTCAATTTGTGTCTTTTATAAACTCTCAGTTTTTCGATTTTTCAATTAATCGATGTTGATTTTCCCATTTCTTGACCTTCCACTGTTTCGATTTTTCAGTTTTTCAATTCTTCAATTTTTCAGGTTTTTGATTTTTCGATTTCCCAATTTTTCAATTTTTTTCTTTCTCAGTTTTTGGAGATTTCAGTTTCCAGATTTTTGAATTTTGTCCTTCATTTTTCAATTTTTCGAAATATCAAATTTTGGGGTTTTTCAGTTTATTACTTATTCAATTTTTCAATTTCACGATTTTCAATTTTTCAATTTCTCAATTTTCCAATGTTTCAATTTTACGTTTTTCCAATTCTCCTCCTCTTCAATTTTACGATTTTTAAAAATTTCGATTTTTCAATTTTTCAAATTTCACTTTATAAACTCTCAGTTTTTTCAATTCTTCAATTTTTCAATTTTTTAGGTTTTTGGTTTTTCAATTTTTCAACTTTTTAAGGTTTTAATTTTTCGACTTCACTTTTTTGAGTTTTTGATTTCTTAATTTTTCAATTATTTGATTTTTCAGTTTTTGGATATTTCAGTTTCATCATTTTTCAGTTTTTCTTTCATTTTTCAATTTTTCGAAATTTCAGTTTAGAGATTTACCAGATTATTTATTATTCAATTCTTTGATTTTACAATTTCCCAATTTTTCGGTGATTCAGTTTTTCGGTTTTCCAATTTTTCTCCACTTCAATTTTACGTTTTTTAAATGTTTCGATTTTTTGATTTTTCAATTTTTGACTTTTCTAAATTCTCAAGTTTTCAATTTATCGATGTTCCCATTTCTTATTTTCGACTGTTTCGATTTTCCAGTTCTTCAATTCTTCAATTTTTCGATTTTTCAGGTTTCTCAATTTTTCCATTTTTCGACTTGTCGATCTTTTGATTTTCGATTTCTCAATGTCTCAATGTTTCAATTTTTCAATTTTTCGATTTTTTAAATTTTTTAATTTCTAGATTTATCGAGATTAGGATATTTCGATGTTTTGATTGTTCAATTTATCTATTTACCAATTTTTTAATTTTCAAATTTTAAATTTTGGCCTATTTCTGTTTCTCAATTTTTCAACTAATCGACTTCTCGATTTCTCGATCTTTTGAGTTTTCGATTTATCGGTTTTTCGATTTTTTAGTTTTCGGATTTTCGGTTTTTGATTTTCCAGTTTTTCGATATTTCGATTTTTCAATTTTTAAATTTTGGTGTTTCGATTTTTCGTTTTTCGGTTTTTAAATTTTACATTTTCAAATTTTTTGAAGCCGAAAGCAAGTAATCAAAAAATCGAAACATCCAAAAATTGAAAAACTGAAACGTCGAGAAATCGAGAAAGAAATTTAAAAGTCGAGAAGTCGAAAAATATCGAAAAACAGAAATACTCTAAAATCGAAAAATCCAAAATTAAAAATTGAAAAATGAAAATTTAAAACTAAAAAAAAAACGACAAATAGAAAAAAAAACTGAACTGAAGGATCAGAAATTTTTAAAAATCGAATGCTGTGAAGTCGAAAAATCGAGAGATCGGAAAATCGAAACATCAAAAAACTGAAAAATATAACATTTAAAAATTAGAAAAATGAAGAAATAAATTGAAAAATTAAAATACATATAGAAAAATTGAAAAATCGGGAAATTGAAATATCAAAAAATCGAAAAATCAGAAGACCCAGAAATCGAAAAATTGAGAAATCGAGAAGTCGAAATGTCGAAAAATTGGAAAATCGAAAAAAATGAAAGAGCCTAAAAACTGAAAACATCAAAAAATTGAGAAATCTTAATTGGGAAACTGAAAAATCAAAAAACTGAAACATTGAGATATTAAAAAATTCCAAACTGAAATCAGGAAAAATCGAAAAATCTAAAACTTGAATAGCCGAAAATATCGAAAAACTTAAAAACTGAAACATCGAAAAATCGAGAAATGAAAAATTCAAGACGTCGAAAAATCGGGAAATCGAAAAGTTGAAAATGAAAAATTGAAAATTAAAAATTACAAAAAATTAAAAAATTTAAGAATAAAAAAAAATCGATAAATTGAAGAATTCCTACATTGAAATGATGAAAAATTGGGAAATTGGAAAACTGGAAAAGTAAAAAATCGAAAAATCGAAAAAACCGAGAAATCCAAAAATCGAAACATCTCAAAAATTGAAAAAACTCGAAAAATCGAGTCGAAAAATATTGGAAAATAAAAATAATCCAAAATCGAAAAAATTCAAAATTTAAAACCAAAAAGAAAAATGAAAAATTTTAAATTTAAAAAATATCGATAAATAGAGAAAGAGAAAAATTGAAAAGATGGGGAAAAGGAAACAAAAAAAAACCTAAAATATCTAACATTTAAAAATTAGAAAAATTAAGACAGAAATGGAGTAATAGAGTAATTGAAAAGTCGATGTTTCATGTCTCGGTTTTTTCATTTTATTGATTTTTCGATTTTTTAAATTACATATTTTTCAATTTTTTTGTTTTCGGTTTTTTTATGTTTCGATTTCTTGACATTTTTAAAATTTTTCGATTATTAGATTTCTCGATTTTTCAGGTTTTCGATTTTTCAAATTTTTGACTATTTTGAAATTTCATTTTTTTCTCACTGTTAATATCACACCATGCATCGAAAATAAACACAAAAATTTGTCACTAAAAACATTTCAAAATCCATACAAAGTAGAAGACAATGTTTCCTAAACATAAAAATAACTACATTTTCCCGAAAAAAATCCGTCAGATTATTACGATTTCAACAATATTGTTAATTTAAGACGTTTTGCTAGAATAAAACACAATTAAAGAATTAATTCTTAGTTAAAGAAAAAATAGTTGCATGTCAAAATCGAGTGAAACATGTGACATGATATATAATATTTTGTAAATAAAACAATCTAAATATGTACCAAAAACCTTCACTTATTCATTATAAAATCCGACCATACAATTATTATTAAATCGCTTAGAGTCGACTCTTGCCTGAACGCGCTCTGGTCTGTAGATCGAACAAGTTCTCAGGCGACGTACTGTAAAATTTCGAATGAGAAGTCCTTAAAGGTAGATAACAACTTAGGGAAAACCATCAAGCCCTTTAGACATATCACAATCAAATATGTAATTAAGCCTAAATAACAAAATTTACAACACATGTCTTCAATTAACATTTACATTGCTACACTGATTATTATTTAAATAGTAAGACAGATATAAATAAAACACTTTAAACTCACGTTCACAAATGTGTCAAAACTCGGACCTTACTTTCAATAAAGTGAAGCATTGTGTTTCAACAATGTGGAGGAAAATGAACTCAGCTCGACAAATGTTGTAAAATACATGGCGTCTTGCACAGAAATATCTTTTATATAAAATTACTACTTCGTGCGTTGTCATTAAAGAATATAGAAATGCTATTTTTAGAGACTGCGTGATATAAAATAACAATTTCACTCCTATAAGTACAAACGAGCCGTGAAATAATGCATAAAACTTTACTTTTAACTAAAGTACAACTAAAAAAAAATCATTGAGCCCTATACTTATAGGTAAAATTTAAGCTTACAAGGCATACAATTTAGATACACATTTGTGAAGTGGCACTGTAGTAAACATGTGCCTCATTTTAAATTTTGCACAAAGTGACTACTCTTATTTTGCCTGAAAAGGGTTCTTGAAGTGGTCGTTAGGGTGCATAAACTTTATTATGTTGCATCCCCCTCAAAGGAACGATGTTTACTTCCTGTCGTGTCGCGTTAAACTGCCACCGCTATTACACCATTAGTCTCTATTTCATTCGAATTCAGATTATGATGTTATCCGATGTATATGGTAATGAGCTCTAATGATACAAGACATATTGTCTCTCGTACGTTAATGCGATTAGATAACAAAAACGTGGCCTACATTTGCCTCCGCAGGAAAAACACCATAATGAAAAGCTCTCTTGTTGTTTGTCTTTTTTGTTGTAAATGGAGAGGACAGAAACACATAATATCGAATTTTATCCGGAATTTTGTTGCAGATAATGGAAGATTTCATCCACTCTTCAGAAGTTGTAAGCTGGAGTACATCAATCCACACTTGGTCGTCACGTTCAGGAACGTTTCGATTCAGGTAACTGTCCTATTTATCAGAAAGTATAAAACTTTTTAGAAAACGATATTCTTTCACGATGAAGTTTACAAATAATGCAATTTGTGGAGATAAACAGAGTTAGGATCATCTACCTAATCATTCTCTAGTTACTAGCGCACTTAAAATTCTCTAGACAAAATTGATCGTTTCTGATAAAAATTTATTCTCGAGGTGTCGGAGGTTTTATCTGTCTTTAGAAAATTTAATTGTCTTCATTGACTTAACTATCTCATGATTTGCTAGTTATTGCATTTTTATGCCGAATATCTGATATTTTTAGTTGTTTTTATTTATACAATGGAAGTATTCGTAACTGTTGTTTACTTATTATTTAAATCTACAATATTGTACATCCGTTTGAAGCATAAATACTAATAACGATGTTTTATATTTATTATTAACATATCATAACTTTGGCAAGCGTAAATTAAACACACCCCTTTGTGAAAGTAAATAATTTATCGTATACAAATAACAACAGAAAGTCACGAGAGTGAAAGCAGTTAATGTGTTGTAATCTTCTTTAATTTTCCCATATTTCACAATTTCGACGGCGTAATTACTTTTTTCCAGGATAACGTTGTTTTAATGATTTATTTCAAAATGCTGTGCCATAAATCCGGGAATTTTTTTTCTCGGATGTGCCAAATTAATAAATCTAATTTATCTCATAGGTTTGAAAACGTTTCTCTGATGTAAAAAATATGATAATTTTACAGCTGCTTCAGTAAAATTACAACATAAAACGCATGTGGATTACCATGGCACAATTATTTATGCAGATTATGGAGAGTGTTTGTCTGTTTCAAATGTATCAGAAGGGCCATTACTGACCGTTTTATTCGTCAACATTGGAGGTATTGACTTCATGAATGTATTATTTTAAAACACTGCTGTGAAGCCGTTACATGTTTTTAATGCAAATACTGACATGGAAATTTCATATGGAACTGACATTCCAGCAATTACGTTTCGGACAACGAACGTGTTGCGAATGTGTAGAGAAGAAATTTCATGGGACATTATGACGAAGTAAATGCATTTCTTAAAATATTGTGTCCTGTGTTGAATAAAAGACGAAAATAATTTTAATGGCAGAAAACGGCACGAAACACGAAGCAATAAATGGAGCTCAGAAATCTCATCCGTAATTAATTATTAGTGGCATAAAAAGCAGAGGTTTGTATCATCACAAACTTCGCAACTTTGCAATTCAAAGTTAAGTCTTTTTGTGAATATCAAATATCAAAACTTTGAGTTTCACAACCACGTTTAATTATAATTAGAAGTTCCTATGCTTATTAGCGTTTGGAAATGATGATTAACGTAAAATAATGAAAACAGTTCGGTGTGATAATGGCGCAACAATGTCAAATAAACAGTTTCATTACTTTCACTTCGCCCGATGCTTCTGATTTAACGACAAACATTTCGCAGTAATTTTGCGTTAGGAGGGTATAAAATTTGCATTCATTTTTCCTATATTTTTTACGTTAAAGAAAACATGTTTCATCTAAACTACTGATATATAGACTACTTGAAATAACTCGAAGAAGTAATTTACAGCAGGAGATTTTTCACATATCAAAGTTACACCTAAATACACCTGAAATTAGAATTAAAATTTTGCCTGATTCCTATTTGCACATGATATTCATATTTTGTTATTGAGGTTTTACCTTTGAAACGATATTTATCTAACCAGAATCTCGTTATGGAATAATATTTTTTCAACACAGTAACAAAAATATCCACTTTAAAAATGTATTAATATGTTGAAAAGCTATACGAGTAGCAAATGCTAATTCCCTTTATTGGGGGAACGCTGTTCAAAGCGTTTAGTCAATTAACAATGAGCCTCATAAAATTTCAATAAAAGTGCATCGAACTGTTGAAAATACCGTGTCGGAACTACAATGCAAAAAAAGGTGATCACATGAATTTGGTAAACAAACTAGAAAAGCTGAAATAACAAAAATGGTAGGTAGGACGGAGTAACATCTGGTGTCACGTAAAATAAAAGGGTTTTCAATAACATAAAATCAATGATGCTAAGAAAACATTTGGTGGATTCGATAGCTACCTCTAGCTATGAAATGGCCTCTTTGAAAATAAAAATGTAATGAAGACGCTAGGATAGAACGGCTGGTGCAGTTTGATTATCATAGTATACACTTTGAAATGGTCTTCACAGACAGATGTACCCCCCTTGGAATAGTAGTGAGACCCAAATAATTCGTTTACTTGTATCTGAAATACAAAATGTACTAAAGTTTGGAACACACAACAGTGTTAGTTGTCTTAAAATTAGGCTGCACACGAATAAAAATATCGTTAATCCAGTCTGAATTCCATTGACTTGTTTATAGGGAAAAGGCACTTTAAAACTTATTGTAAATCACTATAACTAGTTGTGAAGAATTCTAATTAAATAAATTAAAATTTATGCTGAGTGAAATAACTACTTTTTTTTTATTAAACCTGATTTCTTAGCTAATTTTCTGCCTACAACTTAATAGTTTCCAAAAAGTATATTCTGATTCGACAAAATTTCCTTCGCTCCTGAAGTACAGATTCTTTAAATTTCAAAAAATAGAAGATTAGAGATAGATTAGAAAACACCTGGACCCTGAAATTCTATCAACTTCTTTAAAACATCAATTTCTTCAAAAAATAGAACACCAGGAGCCTCAAGATTCTTTGAACTTGTTCAAAAAATAAAGCACTAGACTTTCACATTTTTTAAACTTTTTCAAAAAATGGAGTACCCGCAAACATTAATTTTTTCAAATTCTTCAAAAAATAAAACATGGGGACCCAAAGATTCTGTCAAGTTTTTCAAAGCATTACTAAGAGCTCCAATATTCTTTTAATTTCTTTAAAAAAAAATAAAACACCAGGAGCCTCAATATACTTTAAACTTCTTCAAAAAATAAAACACCAGGGAACACCAGATTCTTTTGAAATTCTTCTAAAAATAAAACACCGGGAACCTCAAGATTTTTTCAACTTCTTCAAAAAATAAAACACTAGGTGCTCCTGGATTCTTTAAATTTCAAAAAATAAAACACTACGGATTCCAGAGAAAACCAATTTTTTCAAATTTCTTCAAAAAATAAAACACCAGGAACCTCAAGATGTTTTCAACTTATTCAAAAAATTAGTCGAAAGCTGTTTCGGCAGAACTTCCCTCGCACCTAAAGTACAGTGAAATATATCCAGCATTTTTGAGTTGAGTTTTTACTTTACAGAATTTTGTGATGACGCCATCAACATTTTTACAAGGACACCTTGGATTGGTGCACTGTAATACTAAAAATAACAGTATTGTATTCCCAAAATTTTCTGGGAAAATGAAGTAAACCGTTCCTGATTTAATCAATAAAATAAACTGACACATTCATTAATTTTTTTGAGCCACCTGTACAAGCAAAGCTAAAAATATGAATGCAATGATAAATCGCAAGTAAAAACTCATGTTTTGCACATTTCGGGTAGATTTAGGAATTTAACCCGTTGCTATCGAAATTTGAAATTTAACACCTTTAAGTTTCACCAGTTTTTACAAGATTAATAGGAGCAAAATCAGTTTTATCTTAACAAGTACTAGGACCGCCCACCCGCCCTCTATTTTCTCAGAGGATATGCCATTTGCCCAAATTAGTCTTATCTTACCAAGTACTAGCCCCACCCACCCACCCTCTCTTTTCTTAGAGGATAATAATAATTACATATTCTTGTGTACAGTGGGAATTATTATAAATTTTTCTGTAGATGAGAGCGGGAACTCATAGAAATAGGCTGTAAAAAAAATAAAAAAAGCGGCAATTGTGACTTTTTTTATACTTATTTACTATAAAATTTACTTCTTATTTCAGAACAAAAGAAAATAGGAGAACGAGTGGGTGGGTGGGTGCGGCTAAGTTTAACTTTTTCTAGAGTTTTTTATAAACATGCAGTAGCCCCGCCCACCCACCCTCTCTTCATTCTGGTGACAACTCCTTATATTGTTCCGTTTTTTCTTAGCAAATACTAGACCCGCTCACCCAGCCTCTATTTCATTAGAAGGTATGTCATTTGTCAAAATCAGTCTTCCCTTAGCAAATACTAGCCCCACCCACCCGCCCTCTTCTTATTCTAACGAATATTTTTATTACTGTTCAGTATAAGATGTATCTTCCAATCAGAGCAGATAAAATTAATCAATGAAATGGAGGCGGGGTGGGTGGGCGTGGTTAATTACACATTCTTGTTTAGAGTGGGAATTATTATACGTTTTTCTGAGAATGAGAGTGGGAACTCATAGAACTAGGCTCTGAAAAGAATAAAAAAACGGCAATTGTAACTTGTTTTATAGTGGGTGGGTGGGGCTAAATTTAACTTTTTCTACAGTTTTTATAACCATGCAGTAGCCCCGCCCACCCACCCTCTCTTCATTCTGGTGACTACTCCTAATATTGTTCTGTCTTTTCTTAGCAAGTAGTAGCCCCACCCACCCGCCCTCTTCTTATTCTAACGACTAATTTTATTACTGTTCAATATAAGATTCATCTTCCAATCAGGGCAGATAAAATTGATCAGTGAAATGGAGGCGAGGTGGGTGGGTGGGGCAATTACATATTCTTGTGCAGAGTGGGAATTATTATAAATTTTTCTGTGGAATGAGCGCGGGAACTCATAGAACTAGGCTGTAAAAAAATAAAAAAGCGGCAATTGGGTGAAGTATTTACATGTTCCAGGCGAACTTTTCCATCACAAAGTTTTGTGATGACGTAGGTAATCAACATTCTAGCAAAGACACGTAGATATATCAATTTGGATATATGGAGGGTAATATTAACAACAACAGTACCATATTCCCAAATTTTCTGAAAAATTGAGTGTGCCATTCTTGTTTTAATCAATAAAATAAATTGCCTCATTGATAATAAACAAGATGTTCTTAACAAAAAAAAATCAGTCGAAGGTTATTTACACCCCCTGAAATACAATCCATTAATTTCAACTTCTTCAAAAAATTATAAAATTAAAATAACCCTTATAATTTAAATTGAAATATGTATGATTTTCCCAAGTACAGGTAAATCAGTCCCAGTGTAAGGAAAAAAATTGATCGGAGTTTATTTCGACAGAACTGAAATACGATCCAAAAAATCCCGCTCTTTGAAAAATTATAAAATTAGGTTTTGTGATTTCCTACCTATGTAAAGTAAGAATTAATGGAGTAAATAACACCCCCGTAGCCCCTACGCCACGGAGGCGCCAATTCCCATGGGGGCAAATGTGGACGATATAAAATATATTTAAAACATAACCAACAAGAAAAAATGTACTCTCAGTAAAACATGCTTAACCACGACTGTTTATGTCTATACGAGTACTTCGAATAATACAATTATCAGCACGTCCAGATACCAAAGATCAGCGGCCGCAGGCATTTGTGTTAAAAGGTAATGAAAAACGATCCAAATATTATTTCGGACGCGGAGTTGTTATTGTAATAATATTATTATTTTATTGCGACATTATTGTATTTTTACATTTTTGAGAAAATATGGTGAACTGTTTATGATTTGATTGAAAAAAATGATAGGAAAGGATTAACAATTGCTTTAAAAATATGAGTGTAACTCCAAACAGATTCGTACACCACAAGTGCAGAAGTAGAATAATGTTTAACATTTAAATCATTTTAATACAGATTTTTTTTTAATATGACGTCATCAAATTTTTGGTATATATGATTAGGCAAATTTTGGTTAGCGTTTTATCATTTACATATTTCTATTGTACATATAAAATTTAACAACAATCAGTCACACAGACGACAAACGACAGACGACAGACAGACAAACAGACAGACAGACAAGCGGAAACGATGGACTACATTTTTCGTTCTCTAGGGATCAAGAAACCCCGAGAAAACATGAAAGTAGCAAGTTGCCCGATGGACTCGATTACAATACTTCCGTCGGTTTAATATTGCGATGTAAACCACAAGTAAAGAGGTACAGGATGTTCAAAAAATGCTGCACCAACTCAGTGGCACATTATTAAGTTCACAAGTCTAAGTTCGAGAAAACTCTTTAAAATATTTTCTTACATGGATTTAGATAGATAGGTCAAAAACATAAAAATGAACCATTGTTGTCAGATTCATCCTAAACATTTTTTAAGTTTCGTGATTATAAAATGAAGAATACGACGGGATATCTCCAAAGTTATTTTGAATAGTAAAAATCCGATCGATTTCAGGACCCAACACCAAATAGTGAACTAAAATATGGTAAAATTTCGAAAACAAAAATTAAAGTTTAAAGGGCTGCATCTTGTACATTTGGACACAAGCATTTTTTAAATTATTTTTCTCTCCCTGAAATCTCGCTTGAAATTGCCCAATATGTCTTTAACCTTAAACTTACATGTGCGTATTATCGTAAAAAAATTAAAATAAAATTTTACAGTTTTTCTTGAAAAACCCTGACACTAAACTTTTTTTTTTTAGAACACATCAACTAAAATGTATTATTCCCTTGAGATATGAGATTATGTCATCTTATAAAATTGTTTTAAATACATAAGTATTTACAAAAAAGTGACTAAAGTAACTTCGCTAAAGAAAGGCCTGGAAGCGGAAATCGCGATGGATTCGAGAAAGACCTCGATTGCGAAACATCGAGAAGACAATATGGGTTTAAACGAAGGCCCTCTTCGGGAACGAAATTATTCAGCCGAGTCAAGTCCAGCGAATGTTACGAAGAGCTAGACAAGTCGCGCCGATATTATTTTGTACATAATCGCTGTAATAGTCAGTCGTGTAAACTCGAGTTATTAAGAAATAAATTGTTGAATTTAATCCACGCCGATTTTATTCGCCCGTTCAACGTAACAATATATTCGTATTTTTGGATTTTACACAGTCTGGTTTAAAAAAATTGTAAATAAAGGAAGACAAAAAGGACTTATTACGTTACGAACGTAAGCTAGGCAAGTATTATGATAGGATCCATCGGGCGAATGGATAGTTTTATGTTTTCTCGACGTTTCATGATCCCTAGAGTTTGAAAAAATATGTCTCTCGTTTCCGTTTTCCTGTCTGTCCTCTACCGTGTGGGTAGCTTTGTATTAAGCAGACAATATCCGAAACTACCTGACCGATTGTTGCCAAATTTTATATGTGTGTTACGAATATTGTATAGATTGTAAACCGCCAACCAGAATGTATCTGATCACCACCCATACTACAATGACTGCACTTTAAAATTTTGCCTTAGTAAACGCATTTCTTTACTTTATAAAATAATATATTCGTGTACTTGTGCTTCATGAATTCACCTTGTTTATGTTTATTTTTATTATAATTTTTATTGTTTAAACCTCCTTCCGTAATAATGCGTAGTTATGTAAACCTAAGTCAGGGTTTCCAATTTTTTTATAGATCAAATCAATAATGATACAACGAATTTTATCATTGGTATTACACTCCACGTGTCGGCGTATACATACAGTTGTGTTCTATAAAAAAGGGAATTAAATTTTTTGATTTGTCATTTATTTACCAAGTAAACAATCACTCCTGTCAAACCTCATTAAAGCGAAGTAGTTAAACTAACCAATTTGTTCGCAAAACTGGCAGTTCAAAGAAACCGTTCCATTTTGTAATTTAAAATCTGAAAAACCGTTTGAACCTATGGAAAAATTTCTAAAACTGACAGATTTTCTTTAACATTTCTCATTTTTATTGAACACAACAGTACGTGTTCTCGCTAAAATGTTGACCGGAACGTTTTACAGTGGGAAAACTCACTAGAAACACAGGCATAGCCTTACGCTTTCACAATACAGTTATATTCTTGGTGCCATTGTCAATCGAGTCTTCGTTTCCTATCGTCAGTGGTGAAATGCGAGCTGACACTCCGCGCCAGACCAAATATATACAAGTCAATAGAGTGTGTTTTCGTAATACAATACGTTCAAATCAAAGGCAGTGGTGGAATATGGGTAATTAAATAAAGGGATGATGTGACTAATACACGTAAGCTAGCCCTATTTCTTTCCAATAGATTAGCTCTCTATTTTAATTCTCTATCTATCATGCCCTACATGCACTGATCATAATCTCCCCTTTACTGCTGTTGGTATTATTACTAAGCAACTGCAAGTTAAAATAAAGATATGTATGTATTGTTAAAATAAAAATAACGAAGCATGCTATGCATATGTTTTAAGTCAGTTTTTCTATTACAACATTTTGTGATGACGTCATCAAACTGACAAGAACATGTATATCAATTACAATGTTTGGGAACATGGAGGTAGCCGTCCTTGATTTGATCGGTACAATAAATTGGCTCATTTATTAATTTTTTTGACATAATATTGGCGCATACTATTTTATAACCTTTAAACAACATTTGCAAGTAAATTTTGATGTGTCAAATTGTTAGTGGAGACGATTAGACAAATTTTGGTTAGCGTTTCACCAGTTCTGCTGTTGTGCTTAGCAGGATTTACGCAATTCATTCCCCGTACGGTCACTGCCGCGATTACGACGAGCGGATCGCGCAGAGAGCCGCAGTTCCTGCAGTTTCAGAAATCACCTGTCTAATAGCTCTCGGCAGACAGAGAAACGACAAAACAGACAACAGACCAACGGAAACGAGAGACCTACTTTTTCATACATGAAACGGGGATAGATCCTGTTACAATACTTTTTAGCTTATGCTCGAAAAGTAATCATAAAGAAAGCACAATGACAGTTTGCAATTACCTAAAAAAATGTGTAAGGGACTTGTTTAGAGAGATTAGTAAAACACAAATTAACACTGGTTTAAGGATTGATCGAATACTTATTAATCAAATTTTATTAACCCATTTCCTTCAAAAAATCGATTACGTAGGTAATCTTAAAATTTTGTTAAGTTAATACCTTTTTGAAATATATAGAGTATAGAGTAAGATATTCTCTCTTCTGTAGTGTTTATATATGTGGGTTATTGTAAAAAAAAATCAAAATTGTACAATTTTACAATCTAACTAAGCGAGTCCCTACCTTTTTCACTTGCGGGGTGTCGTTATTAACACATTTATTGCTATCAATTCTAAATATATATAAATTGTCTACAAGTCATTCTAGAGCCGCATTGGCGGATTTTTTAAAAACAGTTTCCTGACTTTATTCTTTTTAAAGTTTTGGTGAAATTTTTCATCACGTATTTTTGAAATTCAATATCTTCATTATTTATGAAAATCTCGAAACGCGGTTTTCACCACTGTTTTCAGCTTACAAAGCGCTATATTATGTGTTTCGTGGAAAAGATTGTCGATTTATTTTGTTGACAATGAGCAACAGTAAAAGCAGCTTCTTTGACACAAGCTTCTTTTTAGAGTATCTTATTTTCCACAAAAGAAATTGTCAATGTTATCCGGGTAATTTATACAATTGTGTAAGCTGAAAACAGTGCTGAAAACCGCGTTACGCAATTTCCATCAATAATAGTGATATTAATACATGATGAAAAATTTCATCAAAATGCTAAAAAGAAGACGATGATAAAAATGTAAAAAAAAACTCTCTTGCATAGCGAAAGGTGTGGACAAGTTATATCTAAAATTTCATAATAATAGGTGTATTAATAACGTTCTGAAAATAAAAGTCCCAAAAGCCAAAGGTAGGCACTGCTCTTACTAGAATACACAGAAACGGGTTATTTTTTGCAACAAATAATGTTTTTTTATAATTTCAATTTTTTGTTTTTGTGGACAAATGAACAATATTTGCACACAAGTAACTTTCACTATTTACACAAAATATTACGCTGGTGCACAAAAGGACTAATTGTTATATTATTCCCCCCGGAAATATAAACCCGCAGTATAACTAACTATGTAAATTGTTTAAGACCGCCGGATGGGTGTTTCCCCACGAGGCGAAACTTCAGATAAGATGTCGTGAACTGGGCCTATACAAGCTCCTGGGGACGGCGTCACCACGGTGTCAAAACGGCGTGTGGTCGTCTAGGCTGCCCTCATGTGTTCCAACAACTCTTCTAACCAACTTCACAGGTATTATAACTTTTGTGTCGGCATTAGACCGTCGTCACGGTAATTACCAACTCCACAGACTGTTATGAAGTGCATTTTGTTGTAGCCGACAAGCTTTTATAACTTTTAAACAAGCTGCTCGTAGTGGAATTGTTAGAAATGCATGAAAGTTACGTGTATGCATATGTCAGGACAGCCAGGGGACCTAAATTAAAACAGGTTTAACGATGCCTAAATAATTCATTAGAGAGAGGCATTAATTTGCAAATTAGTTTTGTCCTGACAGGATGCATACGTCCATCAATGTCGATAGTTGTTGGTAATAGCATTAAACACTGACGACGCAGTAAGTAATTAACAATAGTCTCTGAGTTTATTAAATCAATTGCAAATTGTTACAAAATTAGTGAGTGGTCACTGCAATCAAGATTCATGACGGCCGGTTCTAATAAAAATACAATTTGCAACAGCTGAATCAAAATATTAAATCGCATCTGTTCTCCAACCCTGAGCAAACTATTAAGTCCCAGGATGTTTGTTTATGATCAAACTGGTAAATGTTGACTGAAGATCCTTAGAGTTGCGTAATATCCCTATAGAACGACGCTATGAATAATAAATGTTTAGTGCATGATCGAGGATCACTGTTTTATGGAGAGAAAACTTTGGTAATCAATATCTGCCGTCGTGAAATTTTACAAATTTGCTGTATACAACAGTCGTGTACGAAATAATCGCACAAGGACAGTGTCGATGACATGATGGATGCTTAAAAGACAGACTATACCAAATCATCACCATTATTAACATGTACCTCGTGTTTTCACTGTAAACAAAGGGTAAAGTTAAAATTTTCAGATCGACATTTCATAATTAACAAATATTTGAAAACGGTTGTTTGAGTAGCCATAAATTTGTTATTGCTTACCTGTGGCTGCAAAACATGACTTCTGCCATTAATGATATACTCATAATAATATATTTATTTCCAATAAAAACAAATGTTAAGATTAGTAAGTGAATTAAAAGTATTATACATAAGTACCACTGGTGTACATAATTAATACATATTTTGACACGAATCGCAATAGAACATGATATTATTTCTCGCACTTAATCTAGGAGCTAAAAGTACAATTTTATTCATTAAGTAAATCTAGTCCGTTTTGTTATTAATTCGACCGTATAACAGCTTTATGTCATTGAGAGCGCAACAAAAAATACGATCAAAGAAAACCGTGGAATTTTGAAGATTTGTCTTTGATAGAATTTTCGTCTTGTCAATTACTGTCAATTTGAAAATTTTGGCTTTAAAATGCAACGAGCAAAGACAAATATTCAAAAATCCATGACTGTCTTTGATCGTGATTTTAATTGCTCTCTCGGTGCATATAGTGCGTCTGGTGCTGCTTAATAGTTTACAATTAAATCTGCGCAGTAATGTGACGTGGTCGTAGCACGAGGAGGGTAAACGCCATCAATTAAATATGTTAAGGACTTAAGGAATTTTGTTTGAACTGATTCTAGTAATTGTACATATATATTCAACGTGGTTTTTAAAAGAAAATTTACTGACAGATATAACACCTACATCTTTGACTGTCATCACATGTTACCGTAATTCGATTACTAAATTATTATATGTTACTCTGTTTTCTATAACAATTAACAACGAAACATTTCTTCCTGTTTTTTTTTCAAGAAAACATATTTATATTGTTATTATATAGAAAATGTGGAAGATAAAAACACAAAAAAAGACAAATAAAACCTAAAACAAAAATGGACATATTATTACGAAATAAACCCATACGCCGCCCCGGTACGACACCTATTGGTTCTAGTATGTACGACGATGATGAGTCATCGTCGATGACGCGGCTGGATGGCGTTTGCTACAGAAAAACCTGGAAGCGGAACTCGCGATTGGTATTCCTGAAAGACCCCGATCGCCGCACATCTAGAAGGGAGTATGGATTTAAATAGAGGCCACCTTCGGGAACGAATGTAATCCAGACAACGAGAGCTGAATTCATTTAACAAATCGAGTCCAACGAGTGTCGAGAAAACCCAGTGAATGTTGCACCTGCAATATTTTGTACATAATCGCTCTGTAATTAGTCGTGTAAATCCGAGTTACTAAAAAATAAATTATTGAGTTTTACCCACGTCGATTTTATTCATCGATCATCATAACAATATTTTAAAGAGACCCTTATCAGGTCGACAAAAGAAATATGTGGAATAATTAAAGGAACGGAAAACAAAAAGTCGATACCTGGTGGAGTGAACAAAATTAAATTAAGAAAAATAAATTAGCTTGGAAACAATATCTGTATAATAAAACGACAGAAAAATACGTGCAGTATCAGAAACAAGACCTATAGTAAAGGAAAATGTCAGAGTAGTAGAAAAGAGAAACTAAGAAAAATTTAGACAGATTTTAAACCAAAACTGTGTACTGTTATGAAACTCTTTTACAGAACATTAAAGAATTAAAAAACAAGAATTAAATCACAATAATAAAATAAAAAGGTGGAAGGAGTACTACTTCAAAGAACTGTTAAACAAAAAAACGACACTATACAGACCGAAATACGCAAAAACTGGGAAAAGAATAAAAATGCAATGCAGAAGAATTAAACTTGGTAAAATGCCCGGATCTAATGCCGTGACATTAGAAACGATAAAATACTGTTACGAAATAAACCCATTCGTCGCCCCACGCCTATGGGTTATCGAGGCCTTTTTAGTATCTCCGGCGATGATGGGTCATCATTGTTGACGACCTGGTTACCAGAAGTCTCGATTGTGGCGACCAGAAAAACCTCGAAGCGGCGTTCGCGATCCGGCCAGAGGAATGTATGGCTTTAAATAGAGGCCACTTTCGGGAACAGATTATTCAGTCAACGAGTCGAGTCTAGCGAGTGTCGAGAAAATCCAGACAAGTTGCGGCGGAATTATTTTGTACATAATCGTTGTGTAATTAGTCGTGTAAATTTGAGTTACTAAAAAATAAATTGTTGAGTGTAACCCACGCCGATTTTTAATCAATAATCACCAAACATCGTAACGATACATACAAAGCGGATTCCGAAAAAATTATAGCACACGAGCTCACATATTTATTTTGAATTAAACAATAGAAAAAGCATTACGTAAAAACAAAACAGTGTTTTTAAATTTTATAGCTGTGGGCAAAACAATTCGACTCATTTAAAACAGAAGCAATCTACAAAAGTCTTTAAAAAAAACCTAGATTTAATAAGAACTACAAAAACCTATACACTGTAAAACAGGAGCATTGAATCCTCTGTTTTGTAATATTAACTGCAGACTCAGAAAACAAGTATAGATATATGGAATATACATATAAAAAGATGTGGACTAGAAATGTAGTACGGGAGAACACAAATAATGAAAATAAGCAAAAACAAGTACGAAACAAGACAATTACCTGGAAACTATAATAAATAATAAGGGAAAAAAATGAAACAAACATCATACTACAAAAACCTGGAAAACAATTCCACAATTTAAGTAAAAAAATTGTAAGCAGCAAGAAAATATCAAAAGAAACAAAAATAACAGTCTACAAAATAATTATTGTATTGTACATTTACATGGCAATTTTTTTGTTGGACAAAATTGAAACGACAACCAACACAACAATTAATAGAAGAAAACAAATTAAAATGACTAGGACATATGTGTTGAAACCTAATAAGAAGCATAGATTTTTAAAGTAGAGAACATACAACTTACAAATCCAACAAAAAAAAATCAAACATCCTGATGTGAATCTCACCGAAAAATGTTTAAAAAGGAAAGGAAATACATTTTCTGTAAAATTATTAGGATACGCACAATAGCTAGCTCGGTACAAAAAGCATAATATGATTATGTTGCTACATAGGTTTCCGTAGCCTTGAATTCCCTGTACGATATTTGATAGCAATACACCAATACATGAGGCCTTTAAGCCAACAAAGCCATTTGCGAAGCTGAACGAAAGAAGCAAGAAACTAGGAAGGTATCAACGTTTTCATTATATACTGAGGTGCGACGATGATTTCCAGAAATAATACATTGTGAAATAAATTTTAAACGAATACAAACTTACTTCTTAAATAATGCAGCTTATCCACGTAAAAGCAAACATTAAACAAAAATTATATTAAAATAATTAGCTTTGAAATTACCCATCTTAACATATATCAAGTAATTAAAAACGTATATACTTGTTAACCATCCTTGAATATTCACATGTTATATGAAAAATGGAAGTGTGTGAAGAAAATACAAGTATATCAAATAAGATAAATGTTCAGCTGTTTCAGAGATTACTTGTTTAATAAAAGCACTAACAGAAAACAGGGGACCTACTTTTTATATTCTAGGAACTATGAAACGTCGTTTAAACATGAAATTAACCATTCGTCAAATAGACTGTGTTACACACAATACATTCGGAAAGTAAAGAAAAATTATAGACAAAATTTTATATCACAAAAGCATACCTATGAAGAAATACCATCCACTTTATTTTAAGCACTTGTCTGAATGAGATTTGTTTTTTAGGATATTTCTTTGTTGATGCTTTAGAAGCTTGCGATGTAAACAAGAAAATAATAAAATTTCTTTCAAATTCAAAGGGTAAAAAAAATCATTTTCTACGACAGGATATTTTTTCACAGATTTTTCAACCTATTTAAGTCAGAGTAAGCTTAAAGGATTAGCTTTAACACGTAAAAAACACTGGAATAATACCCTCCGGCCTAACTCGCAATTAGAATAAATTTGGAATTTATTTGTTTTTCAGAACAGAAAACCTATTTTACACCACGGTGATTGTTACATTGTTGCCTAATTACGAGTACAATGCAAAAACCCTCGCTTTATAACAACTTAGGATTCATTATCATGATTCTTTTATTTAATCATTTACATTTAATGTATAAAAAATAAAACATTAATGCCGAAGATGCTTTATTAAAAATTTTATCAAGAAACTTTTAAAATCTTGCATAAAAAATTTTCTTTGTTTAATTCTGAGCCCTAATCAAACATTCTTTTTTATTAAAAATAATATAGTAATGACTTTTTAATTACCAATCAAAATACAAAAAATAACTACTGAAAGAACGCTGGAATTACCCATACATACGCTGCGTCATAAATTTCCAATAGCTAAATTAATTAAATCCTTTATGCTAATGATAATTTATTATTACTCTGCATACATAAATTTGATTGTAAGGGCATAATCCTGTAGACGTTTTATTAATCGAATTAAGCACTTTATATGCTAATAACGTTTTATGTTTTAACAGCAAGGAAGAGGACATCTCATTTAAATCGGTAATGTGATCTTCAGTTTCCATTTTAATCCAACGACGAGCTAGAGTATTCAGAAAATTAATAATACCTCAATATTAATACCGCTAAAACACGAACAAAAGAAAAACATGGCCTTCAATTCAAATATTTATAATTGAAATTTGCGTGAATGGAAACATTCAATTACAGTGAAACAGGTAATATTTACACAAGAATTAAATACAATATCTATGGAATTAAAGCAACAAAAGTAAAATACCTGAATTATTGTCACGACTTTACACAACCCAGAAAAGTGTTTTCATTATTATTTAAAATGTTTTTTCTGTAAGTTTCTAAAATTTCTACTACGTATTAAAAAATACGCTTTATTTTAATTTATAATCGTAATCATAACAAATAAACCGTTGTCCTTCAGGTGCGAGGAAATTCTGGCTAAACAACTTTACACCAATTTTATTTTAATAAGTTTCAAAAAAAGCAAGCCATCATCGATCGCATCGTTAAAACACCCTGTACAACTTGGTAAAGTGCTGAGTTTAGCAAAGATAGGACGTGGACGTTATCTAATAACTTCCGACTCTTTATAGCCAGTAAATTCTTAATAGGTAAATTAGGACTCTTCATCAAATGTCACTTTTATTGGTAGATTTCCAAACACTTGAAACTTTTCTCATGATCCATTCTTATAATCTGGAATCTGAGGCTCAGATTTTACCCTTAAGGCTTCTATACAGCGAACAGTTGTTTCCGTGGTTACGCTAAGCAAACTGAATAAAGTAAGTTCATTTGAAAGCTTCGAATAAAAAGTTTAACTAATGGTTAATATTCTGCATGAGATAGTATTAAAAGAGTATTTACTATTTTCCAGTTCTGTTTCAAAGAGCATTAAAGTTTTAGTCGTAATTAATCAGTAATCACAAAAAATCCATTAGTAGTCTTTTTGAGGTTTTAAAGCGAACAGTAAAAATTATTTCATAAATTATTAGATTGTTAATAAATTGATTTAATAATTTTCTAAGTATCGGTAAAATATTTTTCTTTTAATTATTGAGGTAGGGTTGGAAGAAACGTATAGACAAATTTTGGTGAAAGACTGACGCAGAAACTATAAACAAAATAAACAAAAATTTGGTCTCGCTGATAATTATCAGCGAGACAAAAAATAGTGAGTTGAAAAACATCTTTGACATTTAAGAAATAGACTTCAATAAACAAAAAAATGTATTCTCGTTTAAATAAATGAAATTTGTGTTTAACGTAGATTAAACAGAAATTCTCATTTAATTTTATAATAGACACCCTATGTGAATTAATCTTTCGTGTTTAATTTTCGGAGCGGTGTTAGTTTTCAGTTATTTAATAATTCTGTTAAAATCAACCAACCTGTAAACACGGTAAAAATTAATAGCTTCCATTAGTCGAACGATAAATAAAATGGCATTCCCCTACTAAAGAAGCTTGTTATTGGAAACTGACACTAGTTCACAACGCAATTTGTAACTGCACGCCTTCATTCACGTTTAAGTGAATCCCAATTACAATTTCCAACTGAATAAAGCAAATTTTAATTTGAATTTCATGATCGAAGAGGATGCTCCACCAACACTTCTCATAAGGATACCATCGGGATCGGCATCGGTGGAACCCGGAGGGGAATTGGCAGTGTTTCCAGGATCGACTATACACCTAGAATGTCTCTTTTCCCGTCGTCTTGGTTCTCCAGATTGGACTTGGACGTCTCCTCTGGGACAATATCTCACCGGTAAAGTAAACATTCTATTTGATTTCTTACTTCCATTGTACCGTTTTCCGCTCCTTACGTGTGTGTGTGTGTGTAGAAAGGCCACATACTTAAAAGCTTCGTGTAGTCATGTTTAAGGGTGGGTTAAGGACAACGGGTGAAAGTCGGGTCCCGGAACTGAGTCAATTTATTTCGACTTTTTTGCACCTTGTTCCGGTGTATTAATTTAAGCAAAGGGTCTGACTGTCGGAAGAGAATTCAGGTTTAAGAAAAGGGTTATCCAAGTGCGTGCTTTACCCCTGGTTGTATTTATGTTGTTTAAAGGAACAGGGAGTATTAACATTCATTTAAATTTAATTAAAGCCATTTAAATGACACAATGTTTTCAAACAGTTGTTAACGTTCTGAATGTTGCCATTTGAATTATTAGCCCTTTTGTCTGGGTAAAGTTTACATAACGGATTATAAACAGTTGTTGATCTTCTGAAATCTGACATTTAAAATCTTAATCTTTTGTCCTAATAAAATTTCGTACAACAAATAAAAATTGCAATATTAAATCACTTTCAAGCGAGTTATTTATCCCATGATTTACTATAGATAGCAGAAGGCGGCTTTTTCATCCAATACCAACTTGACGACAGTCTCTGCGGATCGAACGTTATTTTATTAAAAACAATAAATAAACATTTATCTAAACCCCTACTGTTTTTGAAATTTATTTCACATTTTTATCTATGATATCTACATAATACAGGAATATTTTAATGTCGCTCATTTATCGAATCTGCTTTTCATTACTGCTGTATTAATTTAAATGAAATATGGTAGATTGCAACACACAAATGAATCTCATAATAAATTGAATTCGTTAAAACCATTAATGTAATAGTATTTTACACGTAAAACTAATTACGACATCACCGTTATGTTTATAATTATAGACTGTTTTAGCATTTTAATTTTCGCAGGAGCGAGAATGAAGGGGCTGAAATTTAAATGTCAGAATTCATTAAAGTAATGTAGTCAAATGTCTTATATAGAGAGACTTTTTTAAATCAATGTATCACGTCATAGCAACAACTTCAGCTGACACAGGAAATGCTGGAGTTCATTTTGTTGACGTCATTTTATTTTTAGCTGTTGACGGCTTCCAGTCGCCGGAACCGAATTTGACGTTTGTACTCGAGCTTGAAGCTTTCTCGGACGATACGCATTTTATTCTTCAGGTATTACGGCCAGTAAATCGGCGCACCGTGTCAGGCATGTTATGAAATGTTTCTCTAAATAAAACCGTGGATTTATGTCATAAAAAACCTTTGCCAACTTGTTTATTATTTTTATTAATAACAGTGGATGTGCGTTTGCACGGTGTTACAAACGTCTCTGAACACTTACCTATCAATTTTTCTATCGATTATTTTGAAATAATATTAATCGTTTTTTTTTGTTAAATGATTTTTAGGTTTTACTAAGAATTCTAACAGAATCTTGTAAGAACACTGATGACAACATTAAAACTTAAGTCTTACTTTGGTCTTCAAATTGAGAAGGGCAATATCAGACATACTTAACTATCGACCGGGCAATATAATTTGTAATCGAGTCATCTGTGGAACTGAATTTGTATGTCTGATACGTTTACGCTGCGTTTAAAGCTACATTACAGAAAATGTTTAATGTGGGGCAACGTTATTTTATATCTAACTTAAATTAGAACCTCGTGTAAATGTACATATTTCATATTTAGGTATATATAGTCTCTCAAATACTTTTTGCGACTGTTTAAGCGGATTACCCAGCATTGATTTATGACGCTAGGCTTGAGCCGGTAATCAGCCCCATAAAAGTAATTATAACATCCCATGATTAAGGTTAGTGGGGTATAACCTTATAGTATTCGAGAGACTATATATCCGTTTATTGTGACCAGCTTTTAAACTCCACGGATCTAGTTAATAAAAAGTCAGCCAACAACAGTCTTTAAATCACCACATTAACAAAATTAATTTTAATTGCCCATAATTTTGTAAACCTGATTTTTCTAATCGAGACTCAAAAAGGTAAATTTACCTTTTTGAGTCTCGATTAGAAAAATTTTTGTATTTATACAAAAATTTATTAATCAATCTCGCTGTGACTTTAATATCTATCACATGAAACGTCCCTTCTAACCTTACTGTTCTTGTTTTTCTTACTTGTTGTTGCTTCATCAGTTCTTTCCAGAAGTTTATTTGCGTATTGACTCAAAAATGGCATTTCCACTGGAGCAGAAGGCGTGTATGGTTGAGTCGTATTTGTAAAATGGACAGAAAGTAAACAATGTGTGGGAATGCTCGATTCAAGTGACTTGGGAGGAATTCTGGGAACAATTTCCCAACAACATATAAAGGAAGTTTGTAGGAACTTAGGCAGGTCGATAGACTGTGTTGCATTCGTGTGAGTTTGTCTCATTGTTAAGTGCCAGAAGTTTGGTAATTCTTTAGACTGATCACTGTTGTGAAGGAAAGGGTAAAAAGACTTCAAGTAAGTGTCCTTCTTATGCACGACCTCCTTGGTTTATATGAATTTTTTGCTGCACGTTGTATAATTTTTTCAAATGTGTGCCCAACAATCCCCCATGATGTTCTGGTTAATATCATTTAACTAAATGGTTTGAAGCCAGTTTCTCCTATAACGTTTCTTCGAATTGCGATATAAAATTACCAGTACAAACACGTTCTAAGCTTTAGGAGACAAATTTATGTCAGCCCGAACGATTCCACAGAATTGCCTTCATCAACTGTCATTGAGTACCAATTATCGGATAGTTATAGCATATGATAACCAAACCTGTTTCAACTGCCACCAAACTGGTCATATAGTCAGTCATTGGTATATTGGTATACAACAGCAGTTCATCCACAAGTACTGCAGCTCCAAGAACCTTTACCGTTATTTGTTAATGGGTTGGTTCTCTTGAGGCAACACAAGCTATTAAATCTGGAAATTTAGCTGGCAGAGAAGCAATGTTAGAATTAGCGATTGATGTAATAAACAATAAAGAATTTTTATTTTTTGATATTGTGCCAGTCACTTTTGAAGTCTTAGCTACTAAAGGTCATGTCGTCTGAGCTGGTACAATTGATATGCATAATAAAGAATACGCCTTTTTCAATGTATGCATTTGCGCTGGCTTTTGTGACACCTGTTTTTGATACTAGTATGCGTTAGCAAACAGTGAATTTGATATAACAAATCTAAAACTCCTTTGCATATTCGAATATTCCACTTAGCTGATCTGACTGTCCCATAACAACCATTAGCCTTTTTAGTTGTTCGAACTTGAGAGGAAACGTATTTTCACTATTTTCCCAGAGTAATTTAACTGGTTTCAGCAATTCTGGAGTACCAATAATACTGTCTGTTGAATCACTTGGTCTAATTTTTCCACTGCGCTGTCTTCAGATAACGACATGCCTCCATTTAGAGGGATATCCGGTTTGCGAAAACGTTCTTTGACTTTGAAGGTTCATTTTTAAGGAATGTCTTAAGTCAGCAATCAATTCCTTAGACTTTTTCAGTCAGGCTCATTGATTTTCAGCCACGGCTTCCCCTTCGTTCCAAAGTTAGAGGACGTATTATCGGACGGCGTCATTTTAGGAGAATTTGGCCAGGGAGTGGTTTCAAAAATTTATAAAAAAAAAATAACCAGACTCCGGAGTGCCATTTCGTACCCGGATACTTGTTCCGAAGGTTCAACTTGACAGGTCAGATGTTTTTTACTCAATTTGAAAGATTTTTACATTTGTTAAAAGTTCAGCCCTGGAAATTTTTCCAAAAAAACAATATATTTTTTCTGATCGATTTGAAACCTTTGGAGCCTGTTTTGAGACATCGTTTGTGCTCTTGAATTCGAATTTTTACGGATCGACCAGTTTCTGCTATGTATTTAACGCCACAGGAGCACAAAATGCTGCACATTCCTCTACAGTCTAGAACTTGGCGAAAATCTTTGATGGAAGGAAGAATTTGTGCAACTTTAGTTGCAGGTTTAAAGACTGTTTTAACTGTTTGCCTTTGAAGTATTTTGGACAGACGGTCGGTGACCTGAAGAATGAATGGGAGATATGCAGTGGATTCGAAATCAGTTGGACGATCTGAAGTTTTGTCAGAGTTTGGATTAAGTCAACGTTGAATACTTGATAGTGTCGTATCCATTTTGTTGAAGATATGTTTGGAGATGTTCTAATTCTTTTCTGAGTTTGTCCACCTGACAAATGGTAGTGGCTCGATGAATGAGGGAGTCAATGACAGATGTTTTTGGGCAGGGTAGTGATGAGACGTAGCATAATGATACCGATCGGTATGGGTAGGTTTTCGATAAACTGAATGACCAAGTCGAACTTCGGGTAATCTGGTTATCATAACATCAAAAAAAGGAAGACAATTGACTTCTATGGTAAAGTGAATGTCAGGGTGTTAACTGTCGAGATGGTCGTGAAAGACTGAAAGGGCGTTTTGACCATGGGTTCATATGACAAATGTGTCGTCCATGTAGCGGACCCAGACTTTGGGTTTGAGTTGGGCGGATTCAGTGCCTGTGTCTTCAAAAGCTTCTATGAAAATATTGCCGACGACTGGTGAGAGAGGGGTTCCCATAAGAATGCCAGAGATTTGTTTGTAGAATTGGCTTTTGAAGGTAAAATATGTGAAGATTAGACATTTTTCCGTGAGATCGTCAAGTAGTGGCTACAGGGACTTTTGTGAATAAAGACGTTACGTCGAAACTGACAATTGTATCTTCGGGGTGAAGAGAGAGTTCGAACATCAGTTGGACAAAATGGGAAGAGTTAAGAATATGTGAGGAGGTTTCCCCGGTACATTCTTTCAGAACACGGGCGAGATATTGGGCTGTATTGTAAGTGAGAGACACTAAAGTACTGACGATGGGTCTAACAGGAATTATTATTAGTGCTTGCTTTAAGACTCTGTAGGAAAAAGCTAAAGTCAGCTCCGCCCACTATACCTTGCTCCATTTCACTGACTTATTTTATCTGCTGTTAAATGAAAATTGAATTATATTTTGACAAGAGGTATCTCAGTAATTATCAGAAAGAGAAATAATTATTTTCGACTATATGGAGTGTTCTGTTTTCAAAACGAAGCATACAACTTAGTTTTTTCAAATGGAATAGTCAATTTATTTTTATATATTCTGAAATACGAAATAAATCTTATATGAAATAGTATGTATAACAAAGAATGTAACGATTAGCGTTTTTTTTTTTTTTTTGTTTTTTCGGATTTCAGATTCTATTAGTTTCCACTACCAGTTAGAATATAATTAGCCCCGCCCACCCACCGCGCCTCCATTTCGGTGATTGGTTTTATGTAATCTAAATGAAAGATGTATCTTATAAACTGAATAGAAATAAAATTAGTTATTACAGTAAGAGCGCGAGTAGGCACGGCTAGAACTTGCTAAGATAAAACTGATGTTGGCAAATCACATATCCTCAAAAAAATAGAGGGCGGGTGGGCGGGGCTAGCAGTAGCTATGATAAAACGTATTTTGGCAAATGACATAGCTTCTAAGAGAATAAACCACGGATGGGCGGACCTAGTAGTTGCTATAATAAAACCGAACAATATTAAAAGAGTAGTCACTTCCTTTCTCTATTTAACTGACTTATTTTATCAACTGTAAAATGAGAATTGAATTATATTTTGGCAAGAGGTATCTCAGTAATTACCAGAAAGATAAAAAATAATTCTTTGAAGACTATACAGTGTGTTATTGAAAGGTACGTACAACAAAATTGACAGTTCTTCGCGAAGCCTAAGAAGCCTGAAAAACTTAATTTGTGTTATCAAAATTATAAAGGGAAAAAAATTAACCCCTATCCAACCTTTTTAGACGCTATTGAAGGATAAATAGGTAAAATTAATTTATTTTAGTAAATCCTAGCAACTGTAACAATAAAAAATAAGAGTCCCTTTTGTTGCGATAGGAACGAAAGATGACCTTTTTATCAGAGGCGTACAACGAATTTGGACATAAATTTTAATAATTTTTTTCTCTAAAAGGATAACACTTTTACCTGAATTTTTTTTTAATTTTAGCTACCCATACTTCGAGACCAATTGCCGTTTTTATTTTGTACGTACCTTTCAATAACACGCTGTATGCTAAAATTATTTTCCACTATACAGAGTGTTCTCTTTTTAAGGCGATGTTTTTGTGAATTTTGGGCAGACTGTATATACGTGGTGGTGGGTATTAGACGTTTGAGTACATCGGTTGGAATTCTACTACTGACGTACGTTTACAGTTAACAACAATAGAGCCCGTTTTCATAGTCTTATGTGAAAATACGCAAGAACATCTAAGCCATTTAATTGGAAGGGATGTATAGTAAAATAAAGAAATCTTTCTTAAATTTCAATGTTTTTCAATTTACATTACTACTGATTTTTTTTCCAAGAATTTACGCAAAATATGCATTCAGCAATGTGTGTTCATTACAATATCAACTGCAACTAATGTCAAAAAAGTTCCGAACATCTTAAAAAAACACTTTTTTCCTCTATATTAACCTATGGGTTCCAAAAAATAATAACACAACCCAAAGGGTTCCACAAACAGATGTTGAGGCATGTGATCGATGGATCTAAACGAAGAGCTCATTTATGCTGACAAGGACACTGTAATTTAATTTAATTTATTTAATAAAACTAATGAATCTTATGCCAATTTTCCTTCTAAGTTCACACTTGTTTTATTAAAAAATTGTCATTGTGGTTTAATCACAGACATCCTAAATCCTTTCCAAAGATGACTCGTTTACTCATTATATTGCCTGCTCGATTATATTTTCGCATGCCAGAGTACATTATCCAGATGCGAAGGGTTTTTTGATTTCGTTGTTCATTAATTGTTAACAACGCAACACATAAAAGAAGCACTTGCGAATTTAATACAAACGGTGACTCGTGATAATTTTTCACCCGAAAAATACATGAATAGAATGATGCATAGCTTTATCAAGTTGCCTTACTTTAGTTACGATTGCATTAAAAATAAAGGTGTATTTAATCATACTTTTTGAAATATATATTAAATATGAATTCCTAACTATAAAATATAACAACACGGAAATTGCGTCATAAATGTTGCCTTGATGACATCTTTGTCTTATAAAAATTTAACGATCCCCATTAAATATAGATTAAAGTGACTTTTCCTACTTTTTTTGGCGACAATCTTTCCGCTTAAATATTAATATTTTTGTTTTTTATCGATGTTTTTCGTGCCTGGGGCGTGAATTGTGGCAACCATTTCGTTTATTGCTTTCCATAGAAAAGACCTTGTCTAAGTTTGTATAGACGCGAAATCCACTGGGAATGCATTCGTTCCGTTCATTGTTAAAATTTTCACAGTACTGTATTATTATACTTATTTTCAGATGAAGGAAATGCTTGAATTTTAATGATCTGAAAAGTAGTTACTTTAGAGACGAAGTACACTAGTTATGTTGCAGAATGTATAGATGACAGACATGTTATAAATTTTAGAAGTTTCACCGTGAAGGGTACATAATATATTCGTATTTTTCGTATTTGAACAAGTGAAAGCTCAGGCTTTGGCACAAATATAAAAGTGGATATTTAACACAACGTTAAATAAGTTCATATTAAAATATCCATTTTACCACCTTGTTCTCTTTCTTGAGCGACATCTAACGAAAGTATTAGAATATCGTCATTTTGAAACTGAACCGAAATTCAAAATTTCTTTGAAATCTGATCGAAACATTAAACTGATTGAAATATTACAGTACATTAATTAATACGAAATTAAATAGTAATTCTAAATTAAATTTAATGAAGCTCTTAAAAGAGGTTGTTAAAAATTTTTTACCCAGATGTCTTAATTTTTCCCAAAGTTATACATATTCTGAGCTTAAAACAGCACTTAAATTATATCTTATTTTTTAGAATTGTCTAAGCAAAACGGTCCCTATTATTTACCTTTAATTAATATTTAGAGGCGTTCCTTAATTTTTTCTCTTAAAAGACATTTTTATCGTATTATGTCACGCATTCTAACCAAAATTTTGGATAATAAATGACTTAACGAAAGGAAAAGAATTCGACCCAATTTTTCATAAAAATTGATACTTAAAAAAAATATTGCCAATTATCTCAGAAACCGCTTAAGTTCCATAAATTCTGGAAACACACTAGCGTTATATCGTCTTGTACATCTAAACTGATACATTTATTTATTTATCTACGACTCTTTAATAATAGACGCATTATGTACGTAACTATAGATACATAATACCCCATATTAATCACTAGTGTTTAATGAATATTAAACACTAGTGAATAATGGATTTATTTCAAAATGTCCTAAAATACTGTTCCTTTTTTTCTAGAAAAATATAAACGTCAAAACTATGTATGTATTCGTTTTTTACGTGTTATATATTTAACAGTTATTATTCTGTGTAGGATTTAAAATTTAAATTTACAATCTAAACGGAATTCGTATTTCGCGATTGTAGATTGTAGATGGCTCTGACGTTGTTTACGTTGCCACCTGCTACTACGGACGCTTAGCCGCCATTGTGCGTATTGTTTTGAATTTTGATTTCTTGCGAAAATTTATTACCGACGAGTGTTTTTATAAGAGGTTATCATCAGTTATAATGGATGAAAACACTGAAAATCTTCCTGGCACACCTCCCGAAGTGGCAGAAGCAGCTGGTGCTGTTAACCTGTTACCAGAGAAATCTCAAAAATTGTACAAAATAGCGTACAATCAATTCATGAAGTGGAAACAAGAAAAGAAGATTACCTCATTTTCCGAACGGGTGATATTAGCATACTTTGCAGACTTATCAAGTAAATACAAAATTTCTACGCTGTGGACTTATTACTCCATGCTACGAAGTACTCTCAACATCAATCATAACATTAATATAGAACAGTACCATAAATTAAGAGCATTCTTAAAGCGTCAAGGAGAAAATTACCAGCCAAAGAAAGCGAAAACGCTTAGTCCTCAACAAATAACTAAATTCATCACTGAAGCCCCTGATGTAAAATATCTAGCAACGAAGGTAAGAAATTATTGTTTCAAAATTATGTTGTAGGTTCTCATTTATTATTTTTTTAAAGGTGGCTTTGATAATGGGCATAATGGGTGCATGTAGGACTCAAGAACTGCATTCAATGCGAATTCAAGACATCAAAGATTTGAATTCAGCTTTTTTGGTAACACTGCCCAACACTAAAACAAAGATTAGAAGATCTTTCACAGTAACTGAAGATTACTATTTAATATGCAAAAAGTATCTTGATTTACGTCCAGCTGAAGTGCAATCAGATGTGTTTTTCCTTAATTACCAGAATGGTAAATGTACTATGCAGAGAATAGGTATCAATAAATTTGGTGGTATGCCGAAAGAAGTTGCAGCATATTTGGGGCTCCCAAATCCAGAATTATTTACTGGACACTCTTTTCGTAGATCCTCGGCTACTTTATTGGTGGATTGTGGAGGGGACATAACCGATTTAAAACGCCACGGAGGATGGAAAAGCTCCTCCGTGGCAGAGGGCTACATAGATAACAGTGTGAGATACAAACTAGAAACATCAAAGAAAATTTTTAAACAGGTGAATCCCTCGTCAACACCATGTACATCAATTCGAGCTCCTGTAATGGCAGAAAACTGTGAAAACATAGAGGAGTATGCTGCTGTAAACTGCGATAATGTTGTGATGAATCCATCTCCCCCATGTACATCAAGTGAAACTAATTGTGGTTTAAGAGAAACTAGTAATTTTGTTAAAAATTCCCATTCCCTCAGTAGTAATGTCAGTGTTGACATGAAAGGCAAGCCAATACAGATTTCAAACTGCAGTGGCCATTTTACATTTAATTTTCTTGCTAAGACAAGTAATAATAATAATTAATTACTTATTTGTTTTGTTTATTGTTTCTGAAATAAATTATTATTTGTGAAACGTGTATAATTTGTTTAGAGTCGTAGATAAAACGTCGTATTTAACTAGCGTATAATGGCTATTATTCACACGGATGATTTACACACTCGCCTGCGGCTCGTGTGTAATTTTCATCCTCGTGAATAATATGCTACATTATGCGCTTGTCAAATAATATACTATTATTTAATCACATGATTGAATAAAAATTGGTCCAAAGTTATTTCGACAGAACTTCCTTCGCCCTTGAAGTGCAGCTCAAGAACTCCCGTTTCTTTGAAAAATTATCAAAAAATGTTGGATTTGTTTTTTTAATAACCTCTATAAAGTAAAAACCAATTACATAAACAACACTCCCGCAAGTTTTTGGACTTGGATTTATCATTACTTCAATTTTTTTTTGTATCTTCAGTCTTTCAGTTTGCAAATTTTCCAATTTTTGAAATTTCTAAATATTTGATTTTTCAATTTTTTGCTTCAATTTTTCAATTTTTAATTTTCGATTTTTCGATTCTTCAATTTTTCATTTCTTCAAATTTTCAATTTGCAACTTTTCGCTTCAAATTTTTATATTCCTTCAGGGTTCCGATTTTTTTATTTTTTTGTTTTTTCTATTTCAATTTTTTTCAAATTAAAAAAAAATGGAAAAATTGCAAAATTGTTAAACTGAAAAATAAAAATATAAAACGGAAAATGTATAAAACGAAAACTTTGAAAAATCTAAACATTAGAAATTAAGAATTTGAAAAATTGAAGAAAGAAAAAATTGAAAAATCGAAAGATTATAAATTGAGAAACTGAAAAACCGAAATAGTGCAAAATCGCAAAAAAGAAATAATATTGCAAAATGGAAACATTGGAAAATTTAAAAAATCGGAAAATTGGAATACTGAGAAATCAAAAAAATTCCAAAATTGAAGATTTTTAAAACTGGAGGACCGAGGAATTGAAAAATCAAAGATTGAAAAATTGAATAAATGAAAAATTATAAAATCGAAAGAAACCTTGAAAAATTAAAGAAATGAGAAAATAAAAAATTGTGATACAAAATCGAGAAAACCAAAATAACAAATTGGTCTAAAGAGTTTATATAGTACTTCCCTCGCTGTCGGGAACGCGACGATTGCAAGCCTATTATCTCTTTTTTCGTATTACATTTTTGTAATTCTTGATTTAATCAATAAAATTAATTGACTCAGTCATTAATTTTTTTCAGACACCCTGTATAAGCAAATCTAAAAAATATTAATGCAGTGATAAATCACAAGTATCGACTCATCATTCTTTACACATTTAAAAGCATTTTTTTCAGCAAAATTTTGCGGTGGCGTCATCAAATTTTTAGGGGGGATGAGCAAATACATTTTGATCAAAATTTTAGCATGCTTATGATAAATTTAAAACATCTCCAAGATTTCAAAGCATTCGGTTTTGTAGTTCCTGATTAAATCAATAAAATAAATTCACACTTTCATTAATTTTTTGAGTCACCCTGTATATGCAAATCCAAAAAATATGAATGGAATGATAAATCACAACTACAGACAGTTGACGTCATCAATTTTTTTGAGGGGATAGGTAAATATATTTTGATTAAAAATTTATCATGCCTGTCATAACTTTAAACCATCTGCAAGATTTCAAAGCATTCGGTTTTGCAGATTCAAAATTAAATTGCAAAATGTTGTTTCATAATTTTGAATTTTTTTCCAAAAATCTGGACGTTTCGGGTAAAAACTCAATTCGGATTCATAAACTACATGTGTAGGACTATGTTATTTTATAAAATTTAAAACCCATTTCCTATGTACAATTTTGAAGTGACGTCATCGCATTAGTGGTGGGGATGATTAGACAAATTTTGGTTGGCGTTTTACCATCTACATGATATTGCTAATATAAATACAAAATTTCGCAACAATCGGTCCAGTACTTTCGGAGATTATCTGTCTAATAAAAATCCGGGACAGCAGACAGACGGACAGACGGACAGACGGACAGACGGACAGACGGACAGACGGACAGACGGACAGACAGACGGAAACGGGAGACCTATTTCTTCGTCCTCTACAATACATCCTTTGCTAACGCCCAGGAAGTAAAAATTCGGGAAAATGAAAAATAAAAACCAAGAACTTGAAAAATTGAGAAAACGAAAAATTGAAAAATCAAAAAATTAAAAACCGAGAAACTGAAATACTTGAAAAATTGCTAAATTGAACAAACGAAAAACTTGAGAAATGCAAAAACTGAAAAATTAAAGACAATGAAAAAAGTAAAAATTGTCAGAAAATTATAAAATTGAAGGAAAAGGAAAGACGAAACATTATGATACCAAAGAATTGGTGAAAGGTGACTAAATCCAGATTTTTATTAAATTATTATTTTTAAATCATAAAATTTGATTTTGTAGTTTTATTTTTTTATGACAACCCTTGTAAGTTAACATAAAGATATGTATGTAATGTTAAAGTAAATGTAAAAAAGGTGCTATGCGTTTATTTGAGGTGAGTTTCTCCTTTACAAAACTTTATGATGACGTCATCAACATTTTTTTCAAGGACACACTGTATTTCTAAATTTTCGGAAAAATGGAGTGAGTCATTCTTGATATTTTAATCAGTACTATAAATTGCCTCGTTTATTAATTTTTTTGAGTAACCCTGTATAAGTAATTCCAAAATCTATGAGTGCATTGATAAACCACAATTATAGAGTCCTAATATTTTATTTGGTAACATTTTGAGATGACGTCATCAATTTTTTGGGACGGGATAAACAAATAAATTTTGTTTAACAATTTACCAGGGCTACGATAACTTTAAAACGTTTTCCACAATTTAATTTTTTTTTTTTCTAAAATTGGACATCTAGAGTAAAAACTGAATACGGATTCATGAACCACATGTGAAGGAGTATCTTAATTTATAAAATTTAAATAATATTTACTAATTTTAATTTTGGAGACGACATCATCCTTTTGTTGGTGGAGATGTTTATCTAAATTTTGGTTAGCGTTTTACCATCTACATGATATTCTTAATACACATATAAAAGTCTAGTCTAGTAGCTTGGGAGATTATCTGTCAAATAAAAATTCGGACAGACGGCAGACATACAGACAAACGGAAACGGGAGACCTACTTTTTCGTACTCTAGGAGTCCTGAAACGTCGAGAAAACAAAAGCAGTCAGTCGCCCAATGAACTCGATTGCACTGCTTTCTTAGCTTACGCTCAGGAAGTAAAATTAAAAATTCTTCATAAAATACAGTTTCTTTTAGATTCCAAAACTTCTTAAATACTTATTACAAAAAAAAAGTTTGCACAAACCAACTTTTCTTATGAATTACACAGAAACAACATACATTAATTTAATTTCAACTGAAAATGCAGCATCATCATTGCTAAGAAAGGTAATGTAGTGAGACCGTAGTAACGAATATTTCATCTTTCCTTAACATTTAACGGCTTGTGGAACACGGAAACACAGATTTCCGGCTTCCATCTGTCTGTCTGTCTAGTGTCCACCGGTGAGATATTTATTACGCAAATATTCTTTGAAACCGCTCAACTGATATTTAGAACTTTTAAGTCTAGATTAACATTATAGTGAATATGGTAGAACGCGAGACAATGCCAATATATTCGGCGAAACGCGTCGACAATTTTTGTAATTTGTATTTTCTGTGTTAAAAGGGAAATATAAACGTATATTGTAATCCCGAGTTCAACAAGAGCATGGTAAGTACGAACGATTTCCGTGTAATTTAAAACCATTATTCTGAAATAAAAATTTAACAACTTTTAATATTACATCCGCGGCAATCGCGATATTTTTTATGTTTTTTAGTAGCGGATACCACAGTTTATCGATCCCAGTGTAATTTTTGCTGGGAATTGCATTTTTCATTTTAGCGTTTAGTCTTTTGAGGTGATTTTTAATCCAGTCGCTCAAATAGCTTTCCGCGGTTGGCCTGTTTCGAGCTATATAATTTAAAAGCCGGCGTTAGAAATTCACTCAAAGGCAAGATTTCGAATGAGGTCGGCCGTGTCGTATGTCATCTTCATGTTTTCACTGTGTCAACCTACAAATACACGTGGAAATACACGTCTAGCTTGTTTTGTTGGAGGAATAAGATCAGAGAGAGCGTCTTTAGTTGCGAATTCGCAACATTCGGGCTCTTTGATATTATTCCGGATAGAGCATCATTTAAATCTTATAAACGTCTCGCGACAGCTTGTTTCCGTTTCCTTTACGGTTCACTCTTTATCGCGTCGACTACTGCTAGGCAAGAATAAATTGACGGTTTAAAATTCGAATTTTCACCTGAGCTCGTTCATTCAGAATAAATAAGCGTTGCCCGATATAAATAAAGCCAATTTAAGGAATGCTGGTTATACGCGAGAAATTAGAAATGAATGGCTTCCATATATTTTAATTTTGCTAGCTATTTGTTACATACATGCTGTTACCGACGAGGGTATCGCCAGCATTTGCGTGCACCGGTAGGCATTAACTGACATAAATTTAAATATCTTGCACCTGTGGAATTTTAAAGGTACAAAATTACATGGCAACGATACAGAAACGGCTGTTCGAGTTGTTATAAATCTCTCGAGAGAAATATTAAACACACATTCTCAAAATATGTGAACAAGGGACCACATGAAATATTTTTTAAATTAAATTTATTATAACCAATAACTGACACAATAATTATGCGTTCTACAGTACGGTTTTAAAATCAAGCCCGTCCTGGTCTCCTTATAACGCTGAAACCGCTAGAGGTACACATTTGAGATTTAAAACGAATGAAAGAGTAACCAAATGAT